AAATATACTTCCTTCAAAATTAATATCTGCGTTTGAAATGCTTTAAAACCGCGAATTAACCCTTTCAATCGCAACCACAAAATCTTTCGTTTCGGAGTTTCAAAGTTTAAAAACAATTGTAAAATTCGTTATTTTATTAAATTGAGGTGGAAGAGAGCAAAGGCAAAAGTTGAGGATTAAATTAATACGAAAGTGTGCAAAAAGTCGCGAATAAAACGCAACGCGAGAAAATATTCACTCCGCCTATAGGTGGCCAAGGACAGCGCGAGAAAACATTCGAAACGCCTATAGGCGGCCAAGGGCGCAGCGCGACAAAGTTTTCAAAGCTCCTCTGCGAAAGGGTTGAACGTTTACCTTCGAAATTTCGTGAAATCATCGCGAGATACCCTCGAATCTCCTCAATTTACCAGAGAATTCGTTTCATCGGCGATAATCACACGCGTGACATAAATATATCCCCGTGACAGAAACGTCGCGTAAAGTGTCCGTTACATAAAGGCCCGTGGTCGCTGCAACATTCGTAACCGTGGCGAATGGTGAAGTTTATTCGCTATAGAATACGGCCGGTTTATAAATGAACCGCGGGTTTTATTAATAGCCGGCTTCGCTTTCTCTCCACCCACGGAAAACGATTTTCGCCAAGTTGTTTCTTTTTGTTCACCTCTCTTTTCTCTCTCTCTCTCTCTCGCGCGCACGTGCGTTATACGCCGGCCGATTTCCGTTTTGAATAAGAAACCGGGGCGAGTTTTAAATTAGATTCACGCCGCGAGCGGAAATTCACGGAATAATGCGGTACAGCCGCGGTTCAACTTTAACGCGATCCTTCGTCCGAGACAACTCTATAACGAATTTATTTCTTTCTCTTTCACCCCACCTCTCGTGTCACGCCATACTTTTACAGTTTCTTCTACTTCCATTCAATTAGCTCTCCATGCTTTTATTACCTCCGTTCAGGCGACCAGAATTCCGTAACGCGCTACCACGGTGAAAGTTTAATTACCATTTTAATTGAAATTCGATCCCGCGCGACGGAAATGCTCGTGCTCGTTAAATTCGACGCTCCGGCAATCGGAGCGTTCCTTTTTCTCGTCGTGCAAATCGATAAATCGTTTCCTCAGAAGCGGATCTGTGATCGAATTGTGAAACGAGTAAGCTTACGCTGATCGACGGTTCAACAGTTTAATTAGAGTGTACACGTTTCTCGCGACTGTAGGAAGAGGTTTTTCGATGTCTGAGAGAACTGATTTAACCCCTTTCGTTGCCAGTGGTACGCGTGTGTTCCGATCGAGTAGTCGAATAAAAATTCCTACGAATTCAGTATCCGTTGTAGACGATAAATAAGAAATTCTTTGAAAATTAATTTGGTCACGAAAGGGTTGAAGTCAGCTGAGATGCTTGCTTAACCACTTGCCTTGCGATTTTTTATAGCTACACGCGTTTGATTGAGATATTTACAGTTTCGATACCGCGATAAATGAAAATATAATTTGTATTTAGTAGGCTGCAAGCATAATGTTCAAATTTGGACTCGTTATTACGAGAGGTTAAAGGGACACACCGCCCAGATCCTCCAATTTGCAACATTTTCACTTTCCAAAAATCGGAGAAAGAAGCTGAAACTTGCATTTACATCCCAAAAAAAAAAAAAAAAAAAAATGGAAACCTTCCACTTAGTAATTACCTATAAAACAAATTCCCAAAGTTTACCAACGTTTTCGACGTCTCAGGGTGGCGCACCTCTTTGAAGCTTTCAAAAAAGCCGCGCAAATCCCCAGATTCAAACCGAAATACATTTACCCTTTGTTCCTAGGAGCAAGATCAAAAGACACAAAATAACAGCACCCACTTATCAGCAAGCTTGTACGAAACGTGCATACACGCATATGTATATATCTAATACTCCCGAAAAAGGTTTAATTCCGAAGGGAGACACTATCTCGATCTAAATTCGATTAAAAAGAAGAAGAAAGAGAGAGGGGAAGGGGAAGCCGATCGCGTTTGGCCAGTAGAGGAGGAAGCGCGTTAAAAAAGCGTGGAACCATAAGCGATCGGATCTCCCCGTTCGCGAGTTGTTCGTTTATTTCTTTTTTTTTTTACATATGGGCGTTCTACGGGCGCGCAGATCGACGCGGCGTCGCATTCGTAGAGGCATCTCCGTTAATTGACCTAGTGTTCTCTTGTATTTTGTGTTTTCTTTTCTCTTTTTTCTCTCTCTCTCTCTATTTTCGTTCACCTGCTTCGTGTCACATATTTTCTCCCCTTCACACGTCCCTTATCAATCGACTCGTCACCTCCATATATTCATATATATCTATATGTATGTATATGTATAATCGCCGATCGATTCTCGTGATTGCGCGACACATGCACACGATCGCTAAACGAATCGTATCGTCACCGGTTTGTTACATTTTACACGTAATGTTACGCGACTCGCTACGATATTTCTTCTTTTTTTTTTCGTTTTTTATTCTTTTTTTTTTTGAGCGTGATCTTACCACGTAGATATAGGCAACGATTAGTGTTCTGCTGTTTTTGTTGTTGTTGTTGTTGTTCCTTTCCTTCGTTCGTACGGTCTTCTCTGTTAGTTTTCTGGGAACGCTCTCGCGAGACGACGGAGAAGAGAGGAGTGCGCGAGCTCTCCGCGTTTCGCTGATCCTCGAGAGCGTTTTCGCGCGATGGAGAAAGCAAAATGGGGGAAATGGGAGCGTGGCAGAGTAGTTCCAAATCGTGCAAACGCGATGGAAATCGCGGCATTTATCTTGAACAGCTTCATTTCGAGCAAGATTTGTACGTTTCTCATCTTTGCTTCTATCAGCTTTCACGAATGTGAAGGTTTATTGAATTGGAAAATAAAATTCCGAGATTAAGTTTCAGATTGAAGATAAGAGACTAATTTAAGAACCATTGTTACATACCGACGGTAGAAAACTGTCTGTAATTCTTAAAAAGGCGAGTTTGCGTTGGAAATTTTTTCGTGATTTTATTCAGGTTCTGCGTAATACTCTCGTCAGAAATTTATCGTGACCTGGAGTGATATTCGTTTTGAATAAACAATTAAATCGGAGAATATGGTGCAACAGAGGGATTCACAACAGGACAGTATTTAGAGTGCAGAAATGCGTTTTCTCTAATCACTTTTATATGGTACATCATCTAAAAGACACGCTCTTTAATAATTCATCGTTTAATTTGAATCACATAATGAGAAATTATGTTACTTTTATAAGGAAATGTGATTCTTCCGAAACGAGCGTTTTTCCTTATTTCTAAAGCTCAGCCTGAAAAAACTGAGCGACTTAGGATAATCCATATTCGTGCAAAAATTTGATCTACAGAAGAACCTATAATTAAAATTTGATTTCCGATCGCGTTTTTACCATTTGGAACCACTGTGCGTCGTCGCGACTCCGATTGACCGACGATCCGCGTCGAGCGAACCGCCATTTTGGAGCACAGATTCCTCCAGAAAGTTCAATCGCTCACAAGATAATAAAAATGAACTGATAAAATACCCCTTGCCAGAAACATTTGTAATATAAAATTGAAAAATAATCCATTATAGGCAACTAACGATATTATGCAACAAAGTTGAGTGAATAATGTAAAACAAACAGCAACGTTTCGGGAAGAATAGTAAAAAGAAGAGAAACGCGAGTCAACGAATTTAGTTTAAATTACTCCTCGAGAATGCTTCTCGAATCGACGATTCGTTCGCGAGGATCGCGTCTCATTCGAGAATCTTCGTCGCGCGACTAAACGCAGCCCAGGCTGAGCTTCGATTCTTTCTTTCGTCCGTTCACAGTGTTCTTTAACCGACAACGCGATTCCTTTTTCAATAATAGACTCGTGTATATCTCTGTGTGTGTATATGTGTGTATACGTATAATCGATTAAGTTGAAATCGTATAGAAAAAGGAATACCCTTACAATTATAATTACGCGGATCTTTCGGGTGATTCGAATACTTTTTAAAGAAGCGACGACGTGCCTCGATCAGGTACACGCCTCAACTATGTATGTATATTTAGATTTTCCTTCTTTTTTTTCTCTACTTTATCGTCAATTTCTCGTTAGTTTTCAAACGTTTCAACGTGATGCTTTAAACAGACTCTTAATTACACGCGACAAGGTTACGACGGGTGTTTCGAATGAATTCGAACTCGTCTAAAATAGTGTAGGATAAGTTGTATCCGTTGATTATTTCGGAAAAAATCGTTAGTCTTCGAAGTTTCGGTTTATTATCGTGGCGTTCGATTGCTCGTTGATCTTACGAGAGGATTTTATTTTTTCTGTACTTTTATTGTACTCGGCCGATCGGTCTCGCTCGGCTAGGAATTCGTCTCCCGTGGCGGTAACGGAGAAACAGGAAGAAGTCTTCATCGAAGTGCGTTCCCGTGAAACGGTAAATAGATTAATCGAAGATTCCTGGGAACGACCGAAGAGAAATCGACGGTCGAAAAGAATGGATCTTCCCCTCTGAGCCGGGTCGTGGGGCGCTACGCTGATCGTCGGACGTGTTCGTTAACCAAAAATCCATTTTACCTAACCGATCAACCGGTGGAAAACGAAAGAAAATTTCCTTCTCTTCATTTTTCTGCAAATTAAAACAAATTGCCTTCTCTCCTTTTTCTGTAAATTAAAAACACTGTCTTCTCTCTTTTTGCAAATTAAAGAAAGTTGCTCTCCCTTTTTTTGGCAAATTAAAAAAAATTGCCTTCTCCGCTGTTTCGAGTAATTTAATTACACTTATATTTTCTTCAAAGATCACTTCGAGATATAATTATATCTTCTGCAAGCAAGAGAAGAGGATCGAATTTTTATTATCTCTGAATAACGAACCGGTTAAAAGGTTGATCCATGGAAGTTACTTCCGCGTTCTCAGCCGCGATCAATGTTGATCGCGCGTTTGCCGTCGGACGTCGGCGGCAGCGCCATTTTTTTCGGAACAAAGAATCTCAGTCTCAGCCCTCGAAGAAGACTTCGAGAGAACGGCGGCGGGTGCAAGTAACGACCTCGAATACCGAGAAGATGAAAAGCGATGCTCTAGGAATGGGGCGCGCGTTGTAGAACGCTGGCGCGCGCGCGCGCTCGCGCACAAAAAAAAAAGAACAGAGAAAAAAAGGAAAGCGTTTTTCCCCTCTTGTTCTCGTAGGCGTTTGGCGTTTAATCGTCGTCGTCGAGGCCGAGCAGCTCCGGCGGAAGTCGTCTGTGCCGACAGCACAGCGTCAGACAGAGCACGCGAGCCGCCAGCCGAAACTGCGGGCTCAGGGTACCAAGAACCACCGCCTTCCAGAAACTGTTCGTCACCCCCAGCCACACCACCGCGAAATGCAGAAACGGTACCTGCAACGTGACGAAGATAACTGGTGAGTTTTCTTAGCTGTCTCGAGAGATACATATGTTACACTGGTTTGTTTCAATAGTTTCTTCAGGTACGAAGAAAACGGGGCAGACGGTGGAATTAGTCATTAACCCTTCGACAGTGAAATATTTAACTGTTTAACTCAAGAGAGACTCTTGGGAAGAAAGTTAAGAAGTGACGAGATATTATTGTCATAACTATGACGTAGGGTTGTGTATCCCTTGTTTTAAAAAGAATACGTGTGAAATATAAATTTCTTTACCGTAATTCGTCGCTTTATTAGACTGTCAAAGGGTTAACCCTTTAACGCTCATGTCTTACACTTGCACAGCTGATACTTCAAAAAGTGCAATTTTGTTTAATTATTTTGTGTCATTTTTCTTATTGCGTTATTGTTTCTATTCTATTGCAAATAAGTGGGAAACTTGCTTCTACGAGCCTAGGAAATGGTGAAGAAAAAAGGAAATTGATCAGTATTGGCACATTAAGGTGAGAAAGATATGAGCGTCAAGGGGTTAAAGTGTATAAAAATGGAATCGATGAGAGATGGTTATTAATGCTTATACAGTGATAAGATTCCTCTGGTAATTTTAAGTTTAAGTCAGAAACAGTGTAGAGTAATACAGAAGAAAATTGACAATGTAACTTGAGAATGGAAATTAAAGTGTATAAAAATACGAAATGATACAATACGAAAAATTCGTGATCTAATAGATTGAGCTGGTAATTAATTCTTACACAGTGATGAGATTCCTCTGATAATTTTAGGTTTAACTCGGAAAAAGTGTAGAATACTACAAAGTTAAATTTCACATGCTCGCAGCTATTAACTCAACGAAATTATATTCTTCTTCTTCCTCGTATGCTTCCTCGATCAATAAAAAGAAAAAGAAGAAAAGAGGACATATTGGTACTAAAAAAAAGACATCTACGCTGCAAAAGATTGTTCAGTTGTACACGCTACTCTATTCGTCTAAAGAAAGCAACAATTTCAAAGTAGAACGACGGCGGGTATATAGTTTCCCGTATCGACACGTCGAAACTGACCTTTCCCCTATGTGTTGGCGGACAAAGAGCGACATTTAAATTACCTGAGGCGGTCCGTTAACGACAGCGTATATCCGGAGACCGGCATACGGTGCCCAGGACACCCAGAAAACCATCACCAGGACGAAGGACATGATGTGACTCGGATTGCTCAAGTTTTCCGAGAGCGCGGTCGCGTACTCCTTGTCGTGGATCAGTACGCCTGACCTTAGCCTCCTCATCATCGTGAAGATGTAGCTGTAGGTGTAGGCGATGGTGATGACCGATGGGCCTAGCACGAGGATCGACAGTGTGATGGTGTAAGCAGCCATGTTGCCCCAGTCGAGCATGCAGATGAACGCCTCGCGGTCGAATATTGGCTTTTGGAAACCTAGGAGGGGCGGGCAGCACATCATCGCCACGCTGATCCACGTGAAGACCATCCAGCACTGGCATCGGGTCTTCGTCTGCACGGTCTCGTAACGCAATGGTTTCCTGCGAAACGGTATCGTTCGGTTAATTACCGTAAAAGAAATATTTCAACAATTTTTTCGAACGTTCAACTTTGAAATGTGTTTTTGCTGGATAGATTGAAATTCTAACTCATTCTCCCCAGATTTATCTTTAGCCGATTTTCACATTTTTCTACTCACTTGACAATTTTCTTACGCGAAAATTATTTAGGAAACTGGAGGACACCGAAAACGCCTTTCAGCAGTTTCTTTCCCTTAGAGATTTGGGTGTTTGCTCGGAATTATTTTGAAATCGGGCGTTCTTTTTTTAACTCATTCCCAAAATTTATCTCCGGCCAATTTTCACATTTTTCCACTCGCTTGACAATTTTCTTACGCGAAAATTATTTGGGAAGCAGGAGGACACCGAAAACGCCTTTCAGCAGTTTCTTTCCCTTAGAGATTTGGATTTTCACTCGGAATTATTTTGAAATCGGATTTTTATTCGGATGTTATTTTGAATAAAAGTGTATAACTTCGGTGGAGTTGTAATTTTGAAAATTGAAACTTTTAGGAAGATTTGATATATGTTTGATTTGCGATAGTAAAGTGAAGATTTAGCACCGTGTTCTAACTAGTTGTCTAGACTGTTCGTACAAGTGTAATATGGTAAGCAATGTATTGCAGGTTGTCGATTAAAGGAGATACGAACGGAATGAGTCAGAATGGCTTGGCGTAGGTTGTTTAGATTTCAGTTTACCTATAATCTTGACATCGGCCATTGTTCCGGCTTAGAACTGTTATTATTACGTGTAAAGTGTAATACTAGGGATTTATGTGCCGTGTTGCCATACATGTAAATTAAAATTAATTCTAAATTATAATCCATTGATGTATCGTTACATTTTCCTTGTTAACACTAGAAAGACTGACCGGGTCAAAAACGACCCATTAGCTACTTTCCAGTAAAAAGTGAATATTCTATACTGGAAAGTATAATACTATCATTCATAACTTTCTGACTTTGTTTCCTGCATGTATACTTGCATTCGTATCTAACGAATCTAATTTTTTAATTATACTTTAGTTACGTAAAAGTTCACTTTTAGAAGTGAAAAGTTCACAGTTAGAAGTTCTCTAACTGTTTCAATGATCAAGGTATACACGGTGTCGCAAACTCCATCAGTGTGTTATCAAATTTTATGTGAATGTCAATGGTTTAAGACTTCGCTAAAAAGATTAGAAGAAGAAAATAAAGTACGAAGGACACGATTATGAACTTGCTCTCGGGCTACTGCGAGATAAGGAATTTCGTATTGTATCGTAAATTCACTATTTTATCAATATCAATACTTCCATTAGTGGGAGTGGCCGACATTTTGAAATATAGTGTCGGCGGTACGTAACAACGTGTATTGGTCGTAGACGTATTTACCAGAACCTTAGTGTACCTTATACTGTTGTATCGGACGATAAGAACCTTCTATTCCAATTCGAAACAATAACGAGTTCATAATCATCGTCCCCGTATTTTCTTCACAATTTTACGTAACATTTCTTCTCCTTATCTCCATTTACAAAACATACTAACAAAGTTTCACCTGGGATACCGTGTACATAGAAGAGAGAAGCGAAGTAAAAGTTTCATCGTTATCCTGCTTTCAGAATCTCGAACGTTAAACAAGGGGGAAAAATGAGCTACCCGCTGTTTGAAAAATCAGAGATAATAGAAATATAGATATTATTGTAGATAAAATAAAATAGAAGAAAGAGGCTTGTTAACCCCTTAACCTACAACAAGATGTGAGAAAAATAGTTATGTTAGTAAGAAAAATTCATTCTAATCCTAACTTTCGTTTGAATTTGTAAGACCGGGAACTACTAAATGCAAATTAATCCGTAACAGATCAGTTCTCGTTACCTGATACAGTGCTAAAACATTAAATGGCCGACGCTTAGGTGCACAGCCGGAAAAGTAATCATACGTTAAGGGGCTAAGTAGAGTGGGACGTACCTGATGGCTAAATACCGATCCACGGAGATCCACATGAAGGTGTAGACGGATACTGCCCAGAGGGTAACCTCCAAATAGCCAACGAGGCGACACACGATGTCCCCATAGACCCATTTTCTAACCAGCGCCGGATACACCGAGAGTGGAACCACCAGCAGACCACAAAGAAGGTCCGCCGACGCGAGAGACAGCAAGTAGTAGTTTATCACCTCGGAGGGACCTATGCGGTGTGACGCTCATTTGTATTTACCTCGAGTGTGAAGGCACGGATTGTTCACGTTTCACCGAAATGTTACACTTTTTCGACCGTTGCTTTTCAGCTGTTTCTTTTTTTCTGTTTCGTGGTGGTCACCGGGACGGGAAATTAAAGGGAGCCCGCGGGCAATGAAAGAGAGGCTATGAGAGAAATTGTTACAACCACGACAAAGGAATTTCTATAATACACTATTTTTTGTCATTTCAGGGAAACAATCTAGTCGGCTAGTAATAAGTACGATCATTCAGTTAAGTGTGTCGAGTGAATTAGTTTAAGCACATGCAAAAATGGATGCTTTATTGTTGTAATTATCGCATCTGTATAGAACGAAGGTACGGCTGTTTCAATCTGACGTATCAACGAGTCTAAGAACATCGACCATAGGCTTCTGTTACGGGATCGGAACATCTAGTTAGATCCTTGTTTATCTACGTGATATTACTTCCTCTCGTAGGTGTACACAATTTACACAAATAACTACTCTCTCAACAAATTATACTCAATCAGAAAGAAATCAACGAGACTACTACACATCTCTGACTCGAAACTTTCTACCAATAATAAGTGTCTCGTTATCAACAATCATGCATTCACAATTAAACTGTACAGTAAGTAACAAAATTGATCGTATACTTATAAATCGCAAGAACATCCGCTATACTTCTCCGACTCTCCGTGTACAAAAGAGACGCTGTGTACACGAAAAAAACAAACACGCACGGTGTGCAATCCCTTTTTTTTTTCTCTCCTTAAAAAAAAGAAACGAACTCCTACCCCCGAGCGTGTGTCGCGGCAAAAAAAGTTCAGTTTGAATCATTTATTCACGGGTAAAGTCGATCTGAACTGCGTGCCAAGGTACTTACCACGGAAATTAAGGTAGGTGACGATGATGAGGAGATTCGAGAGGATGATGGCGACACCGACCACGAAGATGAGGCCCGCCTGCATGAGAGCCTCCAGCGAGGGCTCCTCCATGCCGCCACCCTTTCGAGCTGCATCCC